TTTTCAATATACAATGCTAAAACAACTACTAAAGTTTTTATAAATAAATCAAGTTATTATAAAGTATCAAATTAGCATGGTTTTCGTTCTTAATTTCCGACCTCTTCTGCCATAGAATTATTTTACAGTGAGGTGCTAAATTCTATTCTATTAGAAACTTTTGTGACCGTATGACTGTGTTCAAGATGCCTTGTTAAAAGTTGAACTATATAAATATGGAGTGCGAGTGCCGATAAATCTCAATTGAATCTGTTAAAATTTTAAATAAAAATGGAGTCCCACAAGGTTTAATATGGAGTCCTTTATTATATATTGCTTTACCGGAGGCTTTACATCTGTATATGTTGATGATCCGATATTATTATTTAGTGACAAATGTTCAAATCTCAAATACTCTTTCACAATTCTCTGTTCGATAAACAAACTATGTGTAATTTCATACTCGTAAGGAGACTAATGTTTCTGCAATCAACATTTCTATAAATCATTCAGATATTTCAAAAACTGAATGTGTAAAATTTCTTGGTGTGATTTTTAACGCAAACCTGTATTTCAAAAGCTACTGTTTAATGGTACGTAAATTGTCAAATTCGAAATGTTTTCAAATAAGATACTTTAAAAATTTAAAGGGGCACCTATATTCTATCTACTTTACCGAAGTGCAATCTAGAATTAATTATAGAATGCTGATGTGGTTCTTTTAGTCCAAAAGAGAATTATTAGATGCAGTTCATAAATCAAAAACTTTTCCAGTGGTTGTAACGTGTATTTTTAGCAGCTCAAATTATTAATTTTATATTTAATTTTTTATTTTAACTGCCATCGAGGGAAAATCTATATTTATGTGGCTTTTTAGTTTTCCCATAAACGGTTTTTTTTAATATTTTTCCTAATTATAATTATGGAAGTACGGGTATTTGGATTTTGGGGAAAATTTAAGTGATTTTGTAGATAAATCTTCCGTCGTGTATTGACAACCTTTTTCACACCCGCTAAGAGGGATTTTAACGACATATAATTGCATCGGCATTTGAGTTTTGTATTCTTAAAGTCAGAATTCACCCGGAGGGTTCACCTTTAGGATTTCAACTTGATAATTTCTCCCAGAGGGCTTCACACGTGAGTTCAATCGTGGGGAGACTGGTTTACCAGAACATTGGCCCATATAATCGTGGTCCATTGGTTTTTTAACCACCTGGCTTTACATAAGTAGATGTTACTTTATCTGGATGGAAAAATGGTTATGGTGATGCTGTTGATGAAAACACAGGTTTTTTGTATTACATTGAGGATTTCATATGATACTATGCCTGCTAGTTTGTTAAATTAAACATCTGACTCTTTTTAAATGAATGTTTCTAACTTAGGAATCCTAAGGTATTCTTAACATTATTTATACTTTTGCACACATAATGTTTTAGTGGGTTTTTTTTAATTACTTATGTGTTACTAGATAATTATTTCAAAATACAATTAATTAGGCTCTTAATGGTCTGAATATTTGCCTAGTACGACAAATTATTTTAAAATTTAGTGTCTCGGTCTGAGTATTGACCTTAAATACCTCGGGACCTAAAGGCTACGTTCAATATTTTAATTTTTTGATTTCCTCTTTATAAATTAACTTAACTTAACGAACAAGTTAAGCGATCTCGTAAGGCCCATTAGGTGTAGATATTAAATAAATAACCTTTTTCAATCTGGGAGTTTTATCAAATAATTTCCACTGTGTCTGAAGTATTTTGTGTTTATTACATTTTTTGTGTTTTCTGTTTTAAATTTTATTGTAAAATTTAATATTTTTCTTTATAAATAAATAGGTCTTAAAAATAAGTTAAGCAAGTAACTTCTTCCAATTTAATATATTGTATTTTAACCTTTGTTGTTTATGAATAGTTGCGGAGTTGCAAATGTTGATTTATAATTTTTCTTCTATAATCGTAGTAAAATTAATATTTTACAATATTTTGCTTGACATCTTACGCAAATCGTCCTTCGCTTGGTACCATGCTAACGACTGACCGTGCCATCTATTGATGCATTTATTATTCTTTTTGGGTTCATGCATATGACATATATGAGTTAATTTCTAGATACTTAGTTTATTTAGTTATAAATTCTTCATAAGATGTAGGATTTTTTTTGGGGTAAGTTCTTGAACAATTTAATTATTGTATTTTTAGTTAGTTAGTTATTGAACAATAATTTTGAACTTGTTTGATGACACATGTATTGGGTAGATTAATAAAATTAGTTTCTTGTGATAATAATTTTTTGTGATAGTTTTACCCAGAGATAACAAAGATATAACCATTCATTGATAAAATATAATATTCACGATGTCAAGATTAATTCGACAATCGATACACTCTATTTGTAGGGACACTGCGAGAAGACGAAAGGTGAGAAGTAAGAGAGGGGAAAACAGCCGTGTGTGTCTTTAGCCTAAATGTGTAAGCCGCTGTGTGCTTATAATAAACAACGTAAATATCCATGCCGGTCTAAGCCCTGTTGCCACTTCTAACCTCTAACCTAACGTGAGTAGGTTTTGGAATTTATTGAAAATTATTACATCTAATTTAGTGAAATTACATCTAATTTAGTTAAATTTAATATAACTAATGATTCAAAAATTTTTGGGTTCAGTTGCAATAAAATAGGTTGAATTATTTTAGCTTTTTTAATATATGTAAATAATTTTGTAAACAAAACGAGAATAATGAAATAGGCATATGACAACAGCGGATATTATATCCTCCTGTGTCCCTTAGAATATGTCTTATTCAGGACCGCACGATATTTGTTAGTAGTTACATCTCCTGTTATCTCTGGTTTTACCTTATGACACCAGAAACGTTTTCCGAATTTAGTAAAGTTATACTGAGTAATTAAAAAATTACAGCCATTAATAATTTATGAATTTTCAAACGAGTAACATTTTACTGAAGCATGTTTCATTCTAATTTTTAATCAGAAAATCTTTAGTTTTTGTATCCCATTCTAAATGAGATACTTATGTATATTATACATTAAGTCAAAGACGGTTTTCTTTTTTCGTGTTTTCAGGTAAATATTCTCTCCTTTTTCTTTTTTCCTGTGACCTTTTGTTTTAATTGAATCTGGAGTTGGTCCATCTTTAAATATTCTCATATAATACTGAGAAATTTGAAGTTACAGTGAGGTTATGTAAAATGTATTATAAATATGTAGAGTTAACAAATAGAAGTTATATATAAGAATATTTTGTATCCTCTAAAAAGTTAAAAGAAAAAATCCTAGAAATAATAAATATGTTCTGATAGAATTATTTACCTTTATTAATTACAATTCTAAGTACAGTAACTGCAGTTTTAAATCCCTCCAAAACGAGCATACATACCTATACCCGTAAGTTATTCAATTAATTTCTATTTACAACAGTAAAACCGCCAAGAAAATTATTGGAAAATGTAAATACACTGTTATGCATCTATCTTAATGTTCTCATCCGTTAGTTTATTTAATAATTTAAAAGGAATCTTTGTATAATGCGAATAATTTATATTAAAATCTGATTAAGCTGCTTTAAGCATTATAATTCAAATTAATAACTGAATTAAAGCACTTCAGTATATCTTCGCACGCTTTTTGGTTTCATAAAATGCTTTTAACGAGTTATTGTTTTATGTTTTACTAAGGAATTCATCATTTTTATGGAATTTTAAAAATCCTTGTATTAATTAGAATGTAAATAAGTAGAATTAAAAATTTATCAGTAAAAAGAATCAATAAAATATCACAGATTTTTTATTTTCTAAAGCTATGTTTTATTTTCTCATGTTGATGTACAAATAAAAAAAGTAGATTTAAAATGTTTCAGAATATTCTCTTCAAATTATTAATTAAATAATATAAAATTAATGTATCCGTTATTTTAAGACCTCACTGTATTATAATTATTTTTCAATTTATTATAAATTATTGTATTAGCTAAATAACTCCAAGACCGGCTATTATAAAATAATTTTACACCAGACACCACGACAAGATTATTTTCAACCAGCGTAACCAACAAACTTCTTAAAACCGCAAACATTACGAGAACGAGAAGAACATCCTAAATACAAAGCAAAAAGTGGAACAAAAAGTTTAATAGCTGGTCTCAATCCTAAAATCTGGGAAGCAAGGGTTAAAATCTGGGAAGAAAGGGTTAAATCTGTGTCAATGGGACACGCAAGAAATGGAAAAAATATCCGCCCTTGTACAGGAATAGTATATTGTGTACCTAGGCAAGTAGTCTATTTTGTTATCTCTTTCTGCCTACAAATATCAACGTGATTCACACGTGATTTGTTTTCCTACTCAATTGAGAATTTCATTTTAAGATTTCTAACTTTTATAAATAAATAATCACCATATTAGTTGTAATTATTAATTATGGCATCTAAAAAATAGTTTAATATAAATTTTAATTTCACACTCATTTTTAAAAAATTAAAATTAAATAGAATCTACAAATAATGTTATTCCGCAGGTTGGAAGCCCACAGTGAACTATTTACCCAGTACTCTATCGAAAGTACCACTGATAACACCATCAACAACACCACGATAATAGTACCAACCTTATGTATTCAATGAACCTTCCACTGCACTCTATTTGTTTATCTCTACCTGTCTTCAAACAGTCGCGCGGTGGTACTCTAAGCAACAGTACCGAGTTACCTTGGTTACCGACTAGTTCACAGGTGATCGTACTCCACAAAAGATCGATCAAATGATTATAGAGCGTGCCGAGTGGTACTTACTCTTGCAAGACTTCTATTATTAACGCCTAATATGTAAAATAGTACCGTTTTGTACTTTCCTGAAAGGTAGTACCATTTGATACAAATTGAGGAATTTGAATAGTAGTTTCTTTTCTTAATTACCGATCAGGAACGCGTTTGACAGATAGTTATATCGGGTAGTACTATGATGTGAGATGGTTTTTCGTGAGTGATTTTTGTTTTTGTTGTTAAAATGATGAATAATGAACCAGACAGCCCTCCAGCTAATACGAATTCGTTAAGTTCGCTTGATTTTTGGGATTATTCTATTGAGTTAGAATGTTTGGAGGGAAACCAAGGTAATTTTTTTTGTTTTTAAAACTTTTCCTTATTTCAAAATATATATTTGTTTATAATTTTTTATTTTATCAAATTTTGCATTAATAATTTAATTTAAACATTTGAAAATTTTGAAACCTATTTTTTGGTACTAATAAATTTAATTATTTTATATTTGGTTTAAAGTTCACTAAATTAAAGTATTGGCCAAATTGAGGAATACAAAAGCTCTATAAAATTTTAATAAATTAGTAGTTTGTTAGACAAAATAAATTAAAGATATCTAATAAATATATGTCTGGTCTTTGTAGTCTCAACGATTCATTATTTTTATTTTCCTAAACACCAAAGTAAAATTTTTAAACCATTTGTATTAAATAAATTAAAAAACTTAACTAGAATGAAAATATATCATGCTTGGAATTCTATTTTTTACTTTTCAGTTTAACAAACATCCTTAACCCGCCATTAATTAGTAGGCTTTATCACTCTAAAAGAGCTTGATTTTTCTTGAAAATTTCAATTTAATATCGTTTTTATTTTTTGATTTTTTTATTTTAACCCCTTAACCCCCCATTTTTAATCAAATCTTTTTGAAATCAATAGGCCTCGTCCCCTTGTAGAGCTTGATTTTTCCTGTAAATTTCAAGTTTATATCGTTTTTGATTTGTTTTATTTTGTAAATTTCAATACCCCTTAATTCCCTATTTTTAATTATAGAGCTGGATATTTCTTGAATAATTCAAGTTGATATCGTTTTTTGTTTCCGAGTTAGAATTTTTATAAATATTCCATATCCCCTTAACCCCCCCCCCCATTTTCAATCAAATTTTTTTAAATCAATACACATCGTCTCCCTATAGACCTTGAATTTTTCTGAAAATTTAAATTTTTTACCGGTTTTGTTTTTGACTTATCGTGCTGACAAAAAACGTGACATCGGACGGACGGACATTTTTAAAATTTGAAGAATTTTGGCACAAAAATTTTTCAATTCGGATTAATATTAAAAATTTTGGTTTTCCAAAATTAAACTTTTAATTCTCTTCACTGAGAAATTAGTTTGTAGTCAGTACACTTTGCACAAATATTTTTTCAGACAAATGGAAACTTATTTTGAAAAGTCTGTCTCATGAAAATTTAAACATTGACTTTGCCTCTTTTCGGTGACCAGTTTTGGTGTTTTGAGTTCATCCTTTTTTTCTGTACCATCTAATTTTTCATTATTTCCTATCAAGGGTTAGAGTTTTTTAAAATTCCAAATTATTGTATATAATAGGTAGGTACTTATGTTTAAAACAAGAAATAAATAAAAAGAATTTTTCTATGAATATTAATAGTATTTTAAAACTATTGACGTAGCAAAATAACCGTGAAAATTTGAATAACTATCTTAATTGGTATTTATGAATAAACATTGCAACTAATTTTCAAAATATTTCTATTATTATTGAAATAGTTTTAAAAACAATATACAAAGAACTATTTTTATAAAATTAAACTTGGAATTATTCACAAAAAAATTAAATTCATATTTAAATTATTATGTTTAAGCAACCAGCAATCATACACATATTTCCTTATAAATCCAAATTTAGCTTCTCTAAAACCTGTTTTTTTATAAAATACTTATAAAAAAATTTTGGAAATTCACTTCTATAAAAACATAATTTAAAACTTGGAGATTAGATAATTTGAATTTTTTAATAAAAAAACTTGATAGATAATTATTTTAATAATGCCATTTAAATAATTAAAACTGATGTGATAATTAGATATTATTTCATAGATCAATAAAAAGTCAAAGTCGAAAAATACAATGTGTCATTTACCTATTGATTTTTTTATATTTAGATCCAATTTGGTTTCAATATTACTATTAATAATTGTTACTAATGACAGATATGAGCTTTTATCGTATTATTTTCTTGTATTTTCCACTTTATGCTGCTTGAGGCTGGTTTTCATTTGGAATCACCAATCTGAATATTTTCTGAAAACTTATTGCGTTACGAGTATGTTTATATTAAGTCAAATTAAACTAGACATAACTGCTCCACAGTAGGAACACAATCTGTACAGGTATCCCAAATGAAAAGCAGCCTTTATCCAGCCACGATCAAATGTTCTATTAGATCCATTTTATTTTCCGCACGAGACAAATTTACTGCGACTAATTTGCGTCAATACAAATATATGAAAGACAAGTTAACGCCGAGTCAAAAAAAGAGCGAGATAAAATAAAGTTCAAAATTTTAAAATATAGCAATAAATTGTAAATAGAAAGAAAGTACAGTTTCCTCCATTGTACCGATTGGGGTAAGCGTTGGAGACGAAGAAGAGAAGCTAAAGAAGTGACGTCGACAACGAAGGATGCGCGGTGGCAATGCCAAAAGGGCATTAGTTAATATATCGACTATTATTGGTCCGATTTGCATGGGACAAAAGATACTATAAAGAACACTTGAAAAATTAACGATAAAAAAAATAATAATGCGCAGTGGCAAAGACAAAAGGTCCTAAGCTTGTATCTCCGTTATTATTCATTCGATTCGAATGAGAAAAACGGGGTAGTAGGGAAAAATACATACTAATGTTATATATGTGCTTCTCTACTCAGAAACCCCAACTTAACAGACAGTGTTCTGTGATTGAGTTGATCCGTGTTTAATTGCAATGTATATTCTTTTTATTGCACACTTTTTACTTATAGAATTTTAAAATAAATCAATGCACCGAGTTTTTTTTCAAAATCTACTCTCAAAGCACAAAGTTACCGTTATTTAACTAATTATATACAAAAACAACTTGTCAGATTAGTAAACGAATGTTTGTGTATCAAAAGCACAAACACTTGTCCTATCAAATTCATCAGGCAACCATTTATAAATGATGCTAGAATCTTTAGGTTATGGAATGTATAGGTAAGGAGAACTATCTCTGTTTACAAAAAGTGCCCCTCAAAATGTATGAAATAATTTATATATGGGTGAACTATCTACTTAACTATATATCTATATTCCTTCTAGTACATGAGCACCATTTTAATTTCATACATTTTTGAGATAAAAAACCATATGAGATTGTCCTCCACAGAACACTTATCCATAGAACGATAACTTCCATGTTAGAAAACGGCGCCATCTGACGGACGTGGTTGATTTATCAAGTCCTTATCGGGTAAGAGGCCAAAAGGGAAGAAAATGTGACAGTAAAAATTGCTCGCATTAAAAATTAAGATTTCGCTATAATGAAGCAAAAATTGAGTTGCATGAACCAATCTTAACTTGACTAACAGTTTTTAGATAAAAAAACAAGCATACTCAAAAAATAAATTTATTAAAAATATATCGTTTCTGTCTAGGCAAAGTATCGTATACGCCATTTAAGTAATTTTACAAGACCTTTGGCTATATAATAAAACGTAAGTGACATAAGCTTACGATATTTTAAGAATATTATGATGGATACAAAATGATAAATGTTGATGATATTAAAGCTTGCTATATTTTATGATTTGTAAGGATATACGATGGCAAACTTTTAAATATAAAGTTGATGCTTGATTAGTTTTGTAGCATATTTTTTTGAGTTGACGTAGCTCACTTAGACGATTCGGGCAACATCAAAATCCCGGTTTAGTAAAATATGTCGGTTACGATACTTTGCCTGGATAGGGATGATATATATTATTTAAAAACTGTATTATATATGAAATAGTTGGCTATGAGGCTGCTACATATTCCAGAATACAGCATTGCGCCCCTAACATTATGAAGAATATTATCTCTGAAACAGAAAACACACTATTAGTATAAAAATAAATGTAATATTAATCAGATACAATGGCTGTGTTCACCGTCATGAAACACTAAACAGTTTCATTTGATTAGGAATCATAAGTTTCTATACTTCGTGTGTATATATAAACAGTTGCGATGACGGTGAACGAACAACAGGTTGGGTTGAAATTTGAAATAATTTGACATATGTTTATGGAGTTTGTACTTTAAATTAACCTAGGATCAGGTGGAGGTAGTTAATTTTAACGCTACCCCAGTCGCGAAGGCGTCGTCCCTGTTGTCCACTACATTTCATAGCCTAGGTCAAACGAATCTGCACGGTTTAAAATTTTTAATTATAGGTTATAAAAACGTCAAAATCTATGAATGTCACAACTGTAGAACGTAGCAATACTAGGAGTATTCGATTCCACAAACTTGATCAGTGCTCCTCGTATTCTTCAGAAAATTGCTATAATCCTGGAATTACCAGAAAATACCCTATCTATATTGCTCGAATTATATTTACAATTAACATTTTTATTACCGTAGAACGGGGTTAATTGGGACAAATTTGAAACATTTTTTGTTGGTACTTCAAACTTGTACTTATTATCCACCTTGTTTATATATATTTGGAAAGGTAGTAGGTGTATCTGTCTTACATAAAACAATAAGCCTCCCCCATTATGGAGGGGGACTAAAAAAATTTTATTTATAGCTGTCCCAAATTACCCCGTAGGGTGGGGCTATTTGGGATTAATAGCAAATTACGTTAGAACTCGAATAATATCGATTGTAGGGGATTTTTGGGACACCTAAAATAAATTTTAAAAAAGTAAACATTTATTCTGAAGTTATAACCAAAAGTTTGCAAATAATATCCTAAGTTACAAAAAATAAAAAAAAATAAATTCTTTGGCAAAAATAACACAAAATTAGGTTTGTTTTGACACTCTTTAAAAATTAAAAGGCATGAGATCAATATTGAAGCTGTAAAATTTCCTTCTTCCTGTTCCCGTTAATATTGGTGGTGTTAAGATCTTCACGACCATATCTCCACTTATATGATCAGTGTCCTGTACAAGAGGAGTAATAAACCTTCCACTGGACTTGTCCGATTTTTTTAAAAATTCCACATGTAGTGTCGAGTCAAGAACTTGCTTAACTTGGCCGATAAAGTGCTTTGTACTTTTCTTTACTTCATACTCGACCACTATCCAACTGCCTTCTTTTAC